GTATTTTAAAATGAGTAAACACTTCAATTTTGATTACTGTTTCACACATGTTGATTATGATTAGAAAATTGTTTAGTTTATGAATACGTAATTGATCTAAATTTATATTATGTCTCTCATGTCGCATTATTGTTTTTTGTTGTCTAAAAAAACAGGTACAAATCGAACTGATTCTGAAGAGGAATTATTCAATAGTAATGTTGTTGACTCGCCTAGTGGGAAAACCAAGTTGTGGAAACCTATTGTTCCTAAAGAATTTATGCCAGATGTAGATGCTATTTATCAATCATTAGAGGAGGCGGTTGAAATGTATAAATTATATGCAGATAAAGCAGGTTTTGGTGTCAAGTTAAATACAGTAACGAGGTTTGGTGACAAAACCATTAAAAAAAGGTATGTAGTGTGCAACAAAATGGGTAAAATACCTAACAGATCAACTGACACTTTGGATCCTGACGGAACTGGAAGGAATAAACGAAACTCAAACTTCAGAATCACGGACTGCAAGGCATTGATAAAGTTTGAAAGGTTACATATGCGAACTAATGCTTGTAAAATATATGAGTTTGAAGAGAAGCACAACCACCCCCTAGAAACTAAAGAAGAAAGACGGTATTCCAAACATGCACGACGACTTAGTTATAAAGACAAGGAGTTTATAGTGTGTTCTTCAACATCTAACATTGGTGCAACAAAGGCACATAAGTTACAATCTAGTTTGCAAGGAGGTTATAAAAACGTTGGCCCTGAAGCAATTGATTATAAAAATTTTAGAAGGAAGATGGGAAACATTATAGGTGACAAGGATGCACAGCTGGTTGTTGACAAAATGAACATGAGGAAAGATGAGTTACCTAACTACACATTTGAGTATAAATGTGTTGATAGTGTGTTAAACGCAATGTTTTGGGCGGATGAAACCGATAAGTTATATTACAAGGAGTTTGGAGATGTGATCTCATTTGATGCTACATTCCGAACAAATAACTATGCTCTTATAGTTTTTTATTTTTTTTCTTTAAATATGAATATTGCTATTTTTTTGAGTTTATAATAACCGTTGAATTTGTTTTTAATTAACTTTTTAATACAGGTATGGAATGATTTTTGTGCCGTTTACAGCCATTGATAACCACAAACATTCAATAAACATTGGAGCAGGTTTGTTAAGCAACGAGTCAATAGAATCTTATCGTTGGTTGCTTGAAGCTTTTTTGAAAGCACATGGAAAACACCCTCAATTAGTGTTAACAGACCAAGATCCAGCAATTCTACAGGCCGTTGAAGCAATATTTCCTAATTCTAATCACCTCTTATGTATGTGACACATTATAAAAAAACTACAAGCTAAGGTGTGTATATTTTATTCATAGTTAACACAGAACATGTTTTATTCAGCAATGATTTAAACATTTTACGTATTTTTAAAATTAATTAGCATAGATATTGTTTATTCATAGATAATCTTATAAAATTCTAATGTTTTTTTTAGGTTTCAGCGGATTTTCTGAAAACACTGATTTTCGAAAGCGTTTTACTAAGCTTGTTTGGAATGTCAACATCGAGCCTAAAGTCTTTGAATCAAGGTGGAAACTGCTTATGAGAAAATTCAAACTACAAGACAAAAGATGGTTCAAAGACATGTACAAGGATCGAAAGCTTTGGATTGCAGCCTATTTTAAAGACATGCCACCACATGGTCTGATGAAATCTACTTCAAGGTCTGAAAGTGTCAACTCATTTTTTAATAAATACTCTAACTCTGGTAATTTGCTTATCTATTTCATGATGAACTACGACACCGCAATTGGAAAGCAACGAAATGGTCAACAGAAACTAGAACATGATACAAAAAATGCAAAACATGAAATGATGCTTCCAAGTGGATTACTAGAACATGCAGCTGCGGTTTACACTAAAACCGTTTTTTATGAGGTCAAAAAGGAAATATTTAAAGCAGCCTGGTACTGTTCTATTGACAGCGTTGAAATGATTGATGGGTGGCAAGTTGTTATGATTACACAAACGGATAAGAGCAAACAGTTGAAGATAAAATGCAAGGTTATATTCATTGTTGAAACGTTATTCATTAGTGATCATACAAGTATATTATATCATTATTTTTAAATTACATATACTTGTTTCAATATTATGCAATAACCACCAACTAATATGTTAATTCAACCAGTTACTAACATACATTATTTTTATTATACAATGTAGGTTGAACTAAAGTTGCCTGAAAAAGAAGTTAAATGTTCATGCAATCACTTTATACGTACTGGCATTTTATGTCGTCATATTTTTGTTGTATTGAAAAACAACCATGTTGAAGAGATTCCATAGCAGTATATTCTCAGAAGATGGAGAAGGGATGCAATTTCCAGCCATTTGCTTGCCATGAAACATGTTGCCATGGAAACCGAAGATGACACCTTTAAACTTCTAACAGAGGCATACAGCAATATTGAATACTGCTTGGATCATTTCAAAAGAAGCAAGGAGAAATTGTTGGAATTTGTTGAAAAAACACGTATCTTGAAGCAGGCAGCAATGGAGTTTGGCAATTCAAACCAATCATCATCTGATAATGATGAAGAAGAAATTATTCGGATGCTTGGAATACGCAGCATTCCTGATGAAATAAATATCCATCCACCTTCATCTATACGTACCAAAGGGAGTGGAACTAAGAAAAGAATGGTTAGTGCTACTGAGAAAGCTGTTGCAACTGCAAAGAAAAAAAACTAGAATTTGCACAGGTTGCAATCAATATGTTAACCATAATTGGAGGACTTGCAAAGTCAGACTTGCACGAGAGTCAAAACAACCTTAAAATGGCCCATTCATTTGCCCAATAGATTTTATTTTTCTATTAGATTTATGAATAAGAATATGTTTCTATGATTCAGTATGTTATTTTATCTTAAAACACCTTCATGATTTTTAACGTTTTGTTTTATTCAAACAATGAATAATATCATAAACATATCTGGTAATCGTAAGAAATTAATGATATGAACAGGCATTTAAACATCTGTTATTTGATTAAAACGGTTTGCATTTAGAATAGATATATTTTTCCTTTGTTGAAATTATAAAAACATCAATCATTATAGACTATAGACATATACAATTCAAGCAATATTCATAGTTTATTGTATGCTGTTAGTAGTATATCATACTAACAAATGTTTGTACGATTCATGAATAAGGAGATGTTTCTATGTTTCATTATGTTGTTATAGTCAATAATGAATAATATCATAAATACATTAATTACTTTCAACAGATTAATGCTATGAAAATTGTGAAATACTCTGCTATTATGTTAAAACAATTTGCATTTAAAGTAGAATCTGTTATGACTAATTCATGTATTTATGTTATTATTCAATATTGAATAACAACATACTTTAAGATATAAAAACAACAACAATCATTATAGACTAAAGATATAGTCATTTAAATTATTAAAAGTTCTGATTGTATGATCATAGTAGTATAGTATATTAACAAATGTTTGTTAGTAAGAATCATTACTGACTGTACATTTATAATTATACCAGTCATGTTAATCATCATTGTTTGACATAATTTATTTCTTATTTAATTTTTCAAAATTTAATGTAAAATTATAACTATTAATATTAAGTTTAAAATATTACCATTCCATTACTAAATTAGCAAACCAAAAGGAACTATTGTACGTTCTACAACCCAAGTTAATATCCTTAACATACAAAACCATTGTTTTAAAACTATCCAAAAGAAACCATCAAAGTCATAACTAAAATAACTTTTTTAACATAATTAACTAAAATCATCCAATCTTGTGTGAATTTGTTCCTTTGCAATGGCCAACAGTTCAGAACGTTGTCTTGAAGGAATCTTGTGGAATTCATCAACCTTTTGGAGCACATAATCCTTTTGCACATTATATTCATGAGTGATGATTTTGTATAAATACTTTGTCCTCAGTTTAACAAGTTGATCATCTTGCACATTATATTCATGAGTGATGATTTTGCACATAAATCCTTTTGCACATTATATACGTTTCCATGTGACGCATTGTAAACACACCACAATTAATGTGGTTGTTTATTGTTCTCCAAGGCATTTCCAGTCTATATGGCATCACATGTGAAAATATCTCAGTTTTTGGATGATTCTGAGATTTTAAGTAATCAACTATGTACTTTTTCTGAAAATGTAAAAAAGATTGTCAACACATATGAAATGTTATTTACTAGGTAATGTAACTTTTATTAATCACTTACAATGATTTGGGGCAACTGACCATATCTCTCATCAATATGATCATCAACTTTGCTGTTGTCAATGATTACAAACTCTGGGTGTTGTAGATTGATCACAAAAAGGAAAATGTGGAAGGAACGGACGACTGGTAGGAAAAGCTGTAACGTATATTCATTTACATGTATTCACTTTATTTAATATTCATATTTGATCAATGATAAATAAACACATAAGTAAAATGTTCAGATATGTATCTTACCAATCCAACGTAACGTATGCTTGCGTCCATATCTTCAATAAAAAGCAACAGATTCTCAATGAATTTATCTTTACGTTGACTTTGTTAAATCACTTTCAAGATACGAATTCTGTAATCCATTTTTAAAAACTCATTAGTTTATTTATAAGTTGTATTTAGAAAATAGTTTAATCAACATTGAACAATATTTAAATTATACTGTCACATCTGTCTTGCAATAAACTCTCAGAGGCGATTCAGGTGCATGCTTACTTTCATCAAGATTCAACACTTGACTCCAACAATCAATCACATGACCAAATAGTTCACATGTTGGAAAAAAACTTTCCATGTGAAACCTCTCAGCAGAAAAACCATCCAAAGTGTGGAAAACTATATCACTGCAAAAGACGTGACCAATTGATACTTATTTTAATAAGCAACCAACAAAATTAAGTAATTTTAAACATATTTTAAATGCAACTTACTTTGGCTCTCCCTAGAGAGAGAATATCCATTTTGCTACACGTTTTTCTTGTCGTGGAACTCCTTTGGTGATATCAACAGCCCGTATAATGTAAGGAGATTTCAGATATTCGGATTTCATGTGAGGCCTGTACCCTCTTCTATTAAACCCCTTTTCTTCATTGTTGAATGGTACTACAGACAAAGGAATTGACATTTCCATTTTAGATGGTGGTGTAGTCTGAAAAGATTTTCTTACAGATCTATTCACGAAGTACAGATCTATTTCTGCATATTCCTTTGACATCTGAATACTACAGTTTGCTATCGGGGAGTTGTCAAACTGTTTGTGAGATGTTTCTAGAATCAGTGTACGTTCAATTTCAGCCTCGTTATCATACCACCATTGAGATTGTTCTAGTTCCTCTGATGCGGAAACTTCATTAAACAGATCATTTACTTTGTTTTCCATTCTTTGACCAATTGATTCTCAGGATATTTCTTCGCAGCATCATTTATTTTGTTTTCCAACACTTTCTTTTGCTGCACTAGCATGTCGTGCATCTCCTTTATTGTTGAAATAGTTGTCTAATAAGGTCAACACAATTTAATTATGGTACAAACCAAATAAAAACATTAATATGTCATTTAGTATTAATTAATATTATAGTAACTCATAATTCAAATGTGAATAATTAGTAAACTACCTCAACACTTTCCCCACTTCCACTAAAAATTTCCTTTCCTTGATTTCCCTGCTAAAATTAATACACTGTTAGTTTTTGTACTAATACCTTATTATTTATTAATGATTATATTATATTAATACCTTACACCTTCCATCACTAATTTTCACACCTCCTGCATCATTTCCCTGTCAACATGTATGAATTTAATTAATTTAGATTATACAAAATAACAAATTTTAAATTTCATATGCATTATTCAATATAATAAAATATTACCTGAACTTTTTCTTGACCTACATTACTAGTTCCCGATGATTCATTGATGTGACAACCCGAAACTTTTTCCGTTATCTTCACCCAGTTTCCGTTAATAAAATTTGGGTTTTTATTAAATACCGTCAAATTTCTTAGTTTGAGAAAGGCTACACGTTTTAAATAAATAAATAATACGTATTTTATACGAGTCGGGATAAACCGGGAATCACGCGAAAAACTCGAAACTATCTCGAAAATCTCCGAGTTCACGGTCCGGACGCATTAACTGTCGGACCGTAAACCCGTTTACGGTCGGTGCCAGGTGGACCACACCCCCAACCAACCTCCCAGCCTATAAATACTGGACCCCCACCCTCATTTGAACGTTCTTGACCGGAAACACCCCCTTTCTCTCTCTAAACCTCTTGACCGTAAACACCCAAAAAGCCCCCTTTTTACCCGAAAAACGCCGGAAATTGTCATTTGGGGCCATTTGGGAGCCTCTGGAACACTTTTTAGTCGAAAACAAGCACCCTTGTTCTTGAGTTTACGGTCAATCTTCATAGACCGTAAACCCGTTGCGACCGTAAACTCGCCAATCTTCATAGACCGTAAACTCAACAATCTTCATAGACCGTACACTCTGTTCACGGTCTGTCGACCGTAAACCCTGTACACGGTCTGTTGACCGTAAACTCCAGTCACAACCGTAAACAGCTCTTTCGTGGGGAAAAGCCTGTTTTCTCGATTCAACCAAGTTCCGGTAACATTCCTTAACCAAACGCAAGTGTTTACCTAACACTTTATCTAACGAAATCGCTAATTTAGATACATATATGTATTTATTTGATATTAGGATTCTGTTAAGTGCAACGTACACCAACTCAAGGATCATCCAGTTCAATCCTTCGCATCCGACCAACTGTAAGTTCATACCCCTACGCTTTTATAGTTTTTTAAAACGTTTTCAGGGGGGAATACAAGCTAAACATAAAGGTTTTCATAACTTAAAAACTGATGCAATTACAACGGTTTTACCAAACATCTAGATACTTTACCCCTTTTGTAATATGCAGAGCATAAGGGACGTATCTAAACATAATTGCATAGTTTTCAGAACAGTACATGAACACAACTTATCAGTCAAACTATAATAGGTATAGTTTGAGAAATTCTTTACCGGTTTTACAGATTCAAACATATAAACTATGACAGGTTTAGTTTATCCATACAGATAACTAGAGTATCTTCCTAAATAATTATTTTGTGTATAATTGTTTATACTCTACACCGTTTACTACGATTTCGAACTCGAGCACAACCGAACTACACGTAAACTAGTCAATACAGGATTGTGAGACCTATCTTCGTTATGCCCTTCGGGGTACCAATAAATCCTCACCGTTAAGTATAACCATAGTCTCCTGGAGGGAGAGCGTGAAATTTATGAATAGATCTATTCGGGACCGACAATCCCACACCTAAACTGGTAGCTACAGTTAGGTGGGCACGCCTGGGGTGACAAATTTTGTAATCGTACGACGCCTGAAGAACGTCAAGGAGGTCACCGGTCATATTAGCATGGTTATACGACTCACAATAAGTATAAACTAACCTTTGTTTACGGGATTTCTTTCTTCAATAGTTTTATTTTAATTAATGAAACTACCTATCTACTTACTGGAGGATATTCTAGGGACACAACCTTTAGTTTTATTTTAAGTAATAAAACTACCTTACTTACTGGCGGTAGCCAGGGTTTTCAAACGAGACGTACCTCACTTACTGGCGGTAGCCATAGTTTTCGAACGGAACATACCTTAATTACTGGTGATATCCAGGGGTTTTCAAACGAAACATACTTTACTTACTGATGATTGATCAGGATTTCGATACAAACGATATTTTACTTGTAATGAAGAGAAATCATTTGTACAAATTCGGTGACTAGTTTTCAATACAAAAACATGCTTATGAACTCACCAGCTTTATGCTGGTACGTTTTCAAAACCTCTTGTATTCTCAGGACAACAATAGATAGGTACTCTTTCCAGCTTTTGGAGAAGACGGAGCACCCTGAAGTCTCGTCTTTATCTTTTACTTATGATTATATGCTGTCATGTACAAACTATGTTTTCAAACAGATGTAAATATTCATATTGTAATGTAATGGTTGTGTTTACTTTGATTGCTATGATTCGATTGTTGTGATACTACGCATGACGTCACCCGCCCCCGGATGTTTCCGTCGTCTGTTCTAACGGTTCGGGGGTGTGACAGATTGGTATCAGAGCTATTGTTTATAGTGAACTAAGTATACCGAACCTTACATGGTATACAACTATAAACACAATGGGGCTGAAGTGCTCTGAACTAAAAGTATACTTTTAAAACACAAGTATTTTACAAAAAGTGTACAAGTATACCTACGTACCAGAAACAGATTCATGAATAGAACAAAACAAAAGTATTTGGATGTTGAACACTGCGGTTAAACCTGGGCAGTTATGTAATCATGTCTAGGGTAAATATAGCCTGATCAACTATATTCATTCGAGACATGACCAACATGTGTTTGGGAGTGACTGAGGTGTTGCAGCAGGCCTAAAACTTACCAAGTATCCATACAATAGAATATCGATATAACAAAACTTACAACTTAAAATACTATAGGAGTATTTGTCTAGAGTCAAATTCATTACAGAAATTCATTTCCAAGTGTTGCTACTCATTCCTTTTAGCGATAAATTATTTGCATTGGTAGCTTTTCCTTATTTATCGCTTAGTAGAACACTCTATCTATCATATTGAGATATACCTTGCTTCATATCTCTGGATTCAATTCCAGAATACTTACCATCCTCTCCTTCCTGATTACTTTTAGAACAAGATGCCTCCAACGAAAAGACCTAGCAAAAAGAACAACAATCCCCCAACAGATCCGACACCGCCACCTCCTCAGTTCGATCTCGTTATGTTCCAGGCAGCTGTTACTGCTGTTGTGGCTGCCGTGATGTCACAGATTAATCCTGGCGGATCTGGCGGGCCGGGAGGTGGTACTCATCCCCAAAATCATGAAAGTGGTCAGGGACACCAGAAGGAGTGCTCCTATAAGGACTTCATGAATGCGAAACCCACTTCTTTCGACGACAAAGGAGGGGTTATTGCCCTGACTCAATGGTTCGAGAAGATCGAGTCCATTTTCAAAATTTGTTCCTATTCTGAAGCTAACAAACTGAAATTCGCCGCTTGCACTTTCGCCAACAGAGCACTGACCTGGTGGAATGGTCGGGTCAAATCCCTAAACCTACCGATAGCCAATGCTATGGGGTGGGAGAGCTTGAAAGAGCTCATGCTTGCTGAGTACTGCCCACGAGGCAAGATGCAGAAACTAGAGCACGAGCTATGGAACTTGAAGATGAAGGGTTCCGATATTGCTGCCTACACTTCTAGGTTTGAAGACCTAGCACTTCTTTGCCCGGGAATGGTCACCCCGGAAAGCAAAAAGATTGAGAGATACATTTGGGGACTGACACAACCCAACAAAGGAAATGTCTTGGCTGCTAGGCCAAACACCTTTGACAGCGCTAAGTGTCTGGCGCAGACTCTCATAGATCACGGAGTTGATCTTGATAATGTAACAGACGCCCCCGAACCAGCAAAGGGGAGTGGTGAGAAAAGAAAGTTCTGGAAGCAGCGAAAGGGCCAGCCTTCGCAGGAGCCTTCCAAGAAACAACATACGGTGGCAGTTCACGCTGCTACTACTCCTGCCGCTGCTCCTGCAACTCAAGCACCTACCAGTGATTATACCGGTACCCTCCCTTGGCGCAACAAGTGCAGTTATCATCATCGTATCCCCGGCCCATGTCGTGAAATGCTCTGTAACAACTGTGGTAAAGAGGGTCACATGGCTCGAAACTGCAGAACACCAGCCCAACCAGCCAATCAGACCTTCGGAGCAGGTGTCGGTCAAGCCTGTTATGGCTGTGGGGAAGTCGGGCACTACAAGAGAAACTGCCCCAAGGCAACAACAGCTGGTAGAACGAGGAGAGTGCTAGCGATGGGCCAAAAGGAATCCGTTGCAGATCCCACCATTGTTTCGGGTACATTCCTCCTCGATAACTCTTATGCATGCATTATTTTCGATTCTGGAGCGGAGAGAAGTTTTGTTAGTCATGCATTCAAGCATCTTCTCAAACGTAAACCCCAACCTCTAACTGAAACATTTACCGTCGAGATGGCTAACGGCGAGAAAGAGAGCACTAACGACATATTCGTAGGCTGTACTCTTACCGTAAACGATCATTCTCTTCCGATCGATCTTATGCCAGTTTCCATAAAAATCTTCAATGTTATCATCGGCATGGATTGGTTGAGCCACAATCGTGCTGATATCCTTTGTTACGAAAAAGCCATTCGTCTCAATCTTCCCTCCGGCGAAGCCCTCATGATCTATGGCGATAAACTCAGTTCGCATCATTTCATGCATCAAAGCCCAGAAACTTCTACGAAAGGAGTGTCATGCATT